TTCGGAACCGGTAGCTTTCAGGGCATGGTGGCGACTGACGAGCACCTGTCAGTCTCCCACATGACTGTGAACCGGGCTGTCAGAGTTTTTGCGGCTGCCATCGCTTTTTTTTTATTTTATTTTTTTCTGTAATATCCGAAGAGGTACTAATAAGCTGGTATACAATTCAGAATGTTGGAAAACAAACAAGAACCGGGGTAATTCTTGGGTAAGGTCGAGTCTCCCAGCAGCCGGCAGAATTATTTCCCCCAAATTCTACTGGCAGTCGTCACTCATTGGCGGTCAAATCAATTCATCGAACGACGTGTCATCGACAGATCGTTTCATCGGCACGCGATGTAATCACATGAAAGAGATTGTCTTCCGTTAGAGGTATATACGCATTAAGCATTTTCCCACCTTTAAACATGTAAGTGGGGTGTCCCATAACTAACACCCTAATAAGTGTAGCGATGGACCTTATAAAAAAAATGTAAACTTCACACCTTTAAAAATGTGTGATTTTTTAAACACGTTTCTTAAAACGTACGATAATGCCTACACCTTTTTATAAAGATGTAAAACTACAATACCCCTTCTCGTCAGGCACGCAGCCAAGGGGAGGGGGGGGGGGGGGGCATAAGGCCTGGCCTTCCCGCCCCCTCCCCCCCCCCCCCCGAAATTTTCCATTTTGCTGGGGCCTCCTCTCCTCCCTCCCCCAATAGAGCACTTCGTCATCGGCGCCCCCCCCCCCCCCCTTTAACCGAAAATCTGGCTACGTGACTGCTTCTCCTCAAGGTGTAATTACCACAGTACATTTCTTTTTTGGGGTGTACACAGTGGCCCGGGACCCATTAATATGACTGAACAAATAAATTACACAAACGAATCGCCGAAACAGCACGTTGCTTCTTGGCGAGTGTCGAGGCAATATCGTTCGAAAACCGGCTTCAATATTGGCCGGATGTACGGTTTTGCGCCTCGTCCCTACATCCGGCAGGTATGGGAGTACCAATGCAAATAAACGATTTATGTATAATAGCACTGGCACCACTGATTTCTTAGGAGGCTAGATCGTGGATAGAGGCCTGTATTCTGGGGTCGAGCGGCACCACCGGCAGTCATCGCTTGACACAGCTCAATTTTATTACGTTAGTAAATTGTTCTCTACCATGAAACTTCTATCATGTTTCCGCAAATAACAGTTAATATTGTGGGCAAGAATATTAAACGCGTTAGAATACCAATCTTGTTTAACTAAATGTTGTGTGGTTGAGGGTCCAGGACTACTTTGTTGGGCGTTAACTGTTATGTGTTTAATGAGACAAGGGCTACCGAGAGTTATTGTGGAGTCATCCGTGATTTCGGAGTCATCAAAGCTCAGCAAACGATAAGTTAGAATGCCTTTACTGGGGATTTTGCATCGTTTTGACCGCTTGTACATAGTGCTTCATGGTGGGAGCTTTTTCTTTGAACTCCTGTGAGGGCTCCCGTGACAAACTGAAACTCGGAGCGTGCCGTTCAGTCGCTCGACGTGCCATTTATTTAGCAACCGAAGCAAGCGACGTCGGTAAAGTCAATCGTGCTCCGGCCAATTTTTTTTTTAATCGATGTTCAAACGCTTGACGAATGTCTATTTGATCTCCAAGAACCCGACATAATCATCGCAGCACGTCATAAAATGCTCGCCCTCGAGCACCGCGTACAAGCTTCCAATTTTCACGTGTTTCTCCCTTAGACTTGCGTGTATTGCCTCATGATGTAAAAGGCCAAAGCAACAAGGACGAAAACATAGGGAGAAGTAGACAGGACGCGGCATATTGCCTGTCGTCAAGCAATGGCCGCCGGTGAGGCCAGTGACGGGCTCCCAATTCGCGATACAGATTTGCACTGTGAGAGTTCTAATGCATTACACCCGCCGAGTGCTGCACGGAGAACAGGCTCCGAACGAACTTGCCGAATGCACCCAGTGCAGACTGATGCTGTCGCCATAGATATTGTAGAAAAGTACCGACCTCAAACCGAAACTAGCGCCTTTTTGTTCGACGTGATGGGTGGGAATGCGAGAGTGCAGTCGCTGCCATCGTTTAAACGTTGGTTGCTGCAACGTGGGACTTACATTTGCGATGACTTCCACTTAAGCAACTCGGCAGTCAGAGATATCTACAGACGGCGTAAGTTTCCGAAACCAGTTGACTACAAAAACAGCATACGCTTGAGGAAATTGATGGCACTGTACGCGCAAGAGCTTGCTTCGTTTTAAGCATAATATTATGAGTGAATAACTGAAAGGATACGACTTAAATCTAGTTCTTTGGAAGAGCTAGCAATACGTTTCGTAAGTCTTTTTATTTCCCTGGCATTGAGAACGAGAGCTTTCTCAAAACAAAATATGACGGGGCGAGATAGCTGCCGTTCAAATATGACTTTGCTTGAGTCTCGGGCAACGTCTCCATGTTTAGCCTTCCCGGACGCTGAGTGAATCCGTCGCAGGTTTTTGCTGTGGGAGCTTTGTCGAAAAATGTTGCACTTTTCACCCATACACAAATGATGCTAGATCTCGCGGCCCCTGTGGTTGTCCTGGGCCTTTCATTACACACTGGTAGGTTTCAGCGTCTGTACGGCTACAAAACGACTCAAATTTCGCAAATAAAAGACGGGCCGTCGATTCCTTTCTTCGTGAAATATCAGACGCTTACAATTCAAGCTCGCGTTTGAGTTTGTGGCCCGCGGGACGCGATTTCGAGCAGAAAACGAACTTTTTCTTTCAGTTCCGCTGTGCGAATGCCTCATCGTAGCAGACGAACTCTCGTCGTCTGCTCTCGCTCCTCGCCTGGGCGAGGCATGACGGGATTGTCGGCGCTAGAGAGCCCAAAGACGACGTACAGCGAGCGGCGTGAACGCCCGCCTCCCCGCGCTGTCTCGTGCTCTCGTGCACCGCCTAGGGATCGCGGGGGATTTTTCGTCAAAAGTTGCGAAGTTGAGCGCGCGCAGGAAGGAGGAAACTTTGCGGCGTTCTTTTGGTCACTCCCCCCGCTACGTCAAAAAGCGAAGAATGTTTTGCTCCACGAGTTTGGCTACCCAGGATGATAAGAAAAATAAAACAAGGTCACGTAACATTGAAGTAGCAGAAGAACAAAATTAGTCATGAATAGTTGAAACAGTAGGTACGTAAGTCTTCTTTATCCGATGCGGTGTCTTCCCGAGTTCAAACTATCCAACTTTTCCTCTTATAGAAATGTATGGGCGCTCGCCGGGACTTTTGAGCACGATCGAATTAAACGAAAAGTCGAATCAACTGAGGTCGAACTAAAAAAAAGTTTGCTGTAATGTGAAAAAATAGGGGATGGGCCCTTGTCCGGTCATATACTTTACATATCAGTGTACTGCGCGTATTTCCTCAGATCTTGTAAATTTGGGTGGGGGCGCTAAACGTGGAATGAATGGATGCACGGTATTCTACGGGAGGACCCATTGTTCCCATCGAAATTTTTTGAAAAACACAAGTTTTGAATAAGATACGTGTTCTTGCCGAAACTTGGGCGGAAAATGAGGGTTCGGCGATGCGTGGTTTACTTTGGCAGTTTAAAAAAAAAAGACATCTGAAATGTACAGGGGAGAACACCCTGTACATTTCGAATAGTTGCCCTCTATTGTTCAAAAACGGTGTCTTTTTTTAAAGCGATTTATTCGAACACCGAATGCCAAAGCAACATGCGCGCATTTCGGCTCCTCTAATGATGCGCAGCCACTCTGGTAAATGTGCCCAGTTTCAGCTTAGGATAAATGTTGCTACCAGCAATCATTGGAGCTCTGGAAACGCCTAACCATGCACTTTCCCAAATGTGACGCTCGCCCTGCATTGGCTCTGATGGCTCGTAGCATTATCTGCGGTGGGAGGGGAGTATGGCATCACCCCTGCACAAAGTAGGCTTTTGGAGCGTGAATGTTCCACAGTTACTTTATGCAATGTTGGCTCTGTTGCCGTTTCCTCAACTCCCTAGATTTGTCTGGTTTGGCCCGAAAAAGGCTCTAGCGTTCTGCAGCCAATAAGATACGATAGGAATTGTTGCTACTACAGTTGAACCCCGCAATAACAAAACAACCGGGAAAGTAAATTTTTTTTGTTCTCGCTAGAATTTTGCTGTTGCGAAAATGGACGAGAAAGCGCACCTATTACGTTCCATGATGCTGTCCTCTGATTTCAGAATCGTAGAAAATGAGCTGCACTGGGTGCTGAAGTCCTCCGCAATATCGGACTTTTTTCCGCCTTTCGCAACTTCGGCTATGATTGCAGACTTCTCCTGAAGCGTCAAAACTCGCGCTTTTTAACGGGAGGCGGCATCTTTCCGACAGGCCACATAAAAGGTAGTAAACAAGGAGTGAGCGATCTCTGAGTGCACGCGGCAGACGGCTAAATGGCAGCGGGCGGCCGGCGGTGTCGTTGTGTGAAACGTCGGATACCTACGTAGTTGCCAGCAGATGGGCTGGCAAAACAGTTTTCAACAACCAAAAAAAAAATCTCGTCGCCTTTGTTATAATTGTTCGACTGAATGCAAACAGCAATGGCCGCGCCGATGCTTGTTGAAAATGTATGTGCCTGACTTGTCGGATGAGTGTGCTGCTCCCTTCTTATACTTCTGGGTTTCCAACTGGCTCATGTCCCGAAAAACTGTTGCAGATCACTACCTGAAACTTTTGTTGATGTGGGACTGCTTTTTTAAAAGCTCTTCGCTGTTGATAGGGTGCAAATGTATTGAACTCTATGGACGTTTGCCGAGAATTTCGTTCTTGAGGAGTTCAGCTGTAGTAACTACATTGACAACCCGCGAGAAAACTAGCTCCATTTGTGTAGTTGGGACGCAGCTCTACGGCTCGGAGAGACCCGGTTAAACGTTGATTGAGGAAGACCCTGTGAAGCTTTTTGCCCCTAGTGTGGCCATTGGGTTGGCCCACGAGCACGTTTTGGGTATTCCTGCCACTTGGCACGTGCACGACTGCAAACAAGTTGGGCATTTCAGCTGGATCTGGGGAACGTCATCTCCGCACTGGGCGACGCCTCCGGCAAGATCTCCCACGTCCCGTACCGGGACTCGAAGCTGACCAGGCTACTCCAAGACTCGCTGGGCGGGAACAGGTCAGCTCTCTCGCAAATATTTGACATTGCATCAAATACAGAATTCAATACTTTTGTATTTCGATACTCGCATGTAATGTCGATTAAATGTCAGTAAGTTAATAAATCGCAGCTGGAATTTGTTTCCCCAGAAATGTACATCTTGTCACCGTGGAAGCACAAAGACAACGTCTGCTTCAAAAAGACCTGCATCAAAGTTTTTCCTTGTTAGGTCAATGGCCGAGGTGACCATCTTTGACTATGTGGATCGTTTTCACGACAGCCCTTCATTGCAAAGGGGAAAAGGCAGCACTGCCTCGTTCACGCTAGCAGTGTTGCACGCTAAACACGAAAGCTGTTTTATTGCATGGAAAACAACTACAAATGAAACAATGCCCACCTTGTTCATTTCGATATATGTTGGCAGACTTTTAGGCAAACTGCTGTTTAGAAACGGAGATGCCCTGCCACTTCAGCCTTTCTCCGAGCACGCCAGTGCAAAGCTGCCTGCTTAAGGGGACATGCACCGGGGGAAAGCAGGGATTTTATTAGTTACGGTAACGGAATGAAATGTTCAGTTTATATTTCTTTTTCTTTTACAAACTGTTTTGATATACCTTACTTTTTATGTTCTGGAAGGAATGCACATTATGATATTAGGTTCTCGAGTTTTGTGGTTTCATAAACATTGGATATACTAGCCTTTCTAGAATTTTACATAAATGATATTGATGTAGCCGGTCAATATTGTACATTTACGTTTATTTATATTTACTCTAATTACAAAATGTAATCAGTATCGGACATGAACCCTTAATTATTATCGAAGATTGCAGTCGTCATTTAATTTTTGAGCGGTGTGCCGATACACGTTGGCTCAAGAAAAGTCGATGGCTGCCTCAACATTTTGCCTTGTACAACGTCTGCTACAAAAAGTGGGATGCCGCTTCCATCACCTTTTCAGTTAAAACTCGGCCTAATAAACCAGAGAGGGGGGGGGGCCGCAAATTCCTCGGTAAAATGGGGAACTCTTTGGAATCAGAAATGCGGCATGCAGAGAGCTTCGCTGACACCTGAATCCCGAAGGGCTCACGTAGGAGTTCAGTTGGTGAAGGAGCTCCAGGGAAAACGAAGGTTTTTTTCTGACATGGCAATGTCATGGGCAAAGCATGAGACCTAGCAGAGAGGCAAAAAAAGACCTGAAAGGGTATTTCCCAAGAGGGTAGGGACAAGTGTCTCTTTCCGATGCCGAGCATGCATGCTCCACAAGAGCTGGACCGTCGATGTTGCCTAGGCCCCACAGAAGGGTGAACAAATGAAGTGCCTCGAAGTGCCATCTGGTAGAATGGACTAGGAAAAGCTAGTTTGTTTTTTCCTCCTGCAGTCTTATTGCTCACATGCCAGCAACAAAGACGCAGTTTAAACAAACACATTTTTTTTTCGGGATTGCTTAATTAAATCGGGCCGGCGGTCACATTTATGCGGGTATTTTGAGTTCATAAAAGCGTCGAGCCCCAATGGGAATCTGTGGGGGAATTAGAATATGTTAGTTAAATCAGAAATTTTGTAAATTAGTTTTTTTTTAATAGTTGAAAAAGAGATACTCCGAACAGCAAAGAAGGGCTCTGAATTGATTTCAATGGCAAAGACCATTTGTGTGTTTGATAGTGTACCTTGGAACGCTTGTGTGGAAGCCATTTGTAAACCCTGCAGCCGCACCCTGATGATAGCGTGCGTGTCGCCGTGTGACCGGGACTTCATGGAGACCCTGAACACGCTGCGGTACGCCAACCGTGCGAAGGACATCAAGAACAAGATCACGGTGAACCAGGACAAGTCGAGCCAGACTATTTCCCTGCTCAGGCGGGAAGTGCAAGACCTGCAGCTGGAGCTCATGGAGTACAAGCAGGTAACTTCAAAGATCAACCTAGATTCTCTCTATCGAAGAATGGTTAAATATTTGATTGGTATGCCATTTTTTCGTGGGTACCGTATTCACTCGCATAGTGAACACACTTTTTTTTCCCGAACAATTGACACATATCTGGGAGGGGGGGGGGGGGGGGCGTTCATTGCACGGGGTAAAATATTTGCATTTACACACTTTGTGCAAATGTCATATCAGGTGCCCATATGACACGGCAATGTACTGTGGCACGTCTCCAGTGATGGTGGCGCACCCACGGCTGGTCGTGGGCGCACCACAGTAACCATGATTTATAAATTGCAAACCCTTTTAGGGCGTTTTCGGGGTTCCTTTTGCCAAAAGAAAAGCGCCCTACGAAGCTCACTCAGCACGAAAAGCAAGGCGACCGTTCTTAGGCGATATATATTGCTAGTATCCGGCGGGCACACTAAGGTGTAATCCGCGATTACGCATATAAGAACTTGTACGAAGTCCGCCCGCCAAAGCCCGCCCGCACGGATCAAGTTTCATTCATGGACTGGCTACCAGACACTCTCAGCCTACAGCGCAGCGTGTACCTTACTGTGCCATTTTGTTACGGATTAAATAAATGCATTTAAATCAACAACTAAATACTATCAGTTTACTATCAGTTTGTGGTTGGAAGGTGGAAAGGAAAAAAAAAGCTGCCACATGGCTTGACTAGTCCCGAGCCACCTGAATAGCAGTTGACACGCAGGCACCAAAGTATTTACGCATGATTAGGAAAAAAGTGAAAACATGAGAGAACACGAGAGAAAAATTGATTAATGTCATTATAGAATGCAAATTCAGTTTGAACAGACTTGCATTAGGAGACAGAGCAACTTTAACCCCCCAAAAGTAACACTTTTCTTCTATTCATTTTGGTTTGAGATGAGTACCTCCACACTTGGCTTCTATTAGGTTTGGTTTTTAAATGAGAATGATTGATTCCCTTAAGCTGCTCACTGACAGCTTGTTAAGTTCTCTATTTTTCCTACTGAACTGATTCAGTGTAGTCGGAAGGGTGTATGATGTAGTGTATTGTCCGTAAGTAGTCCTAAACAATGGTACTTCCCATGGTTTACAGTTCGCGTTGGATATGCATATACCTTTTTTGTTGGGTTTGCTAAGTCTTAGAGATAATCCTGAGATTGATTTTTTTCTACCATATATTTCTAACATAATCAACATTCGTACAAATCAAAAATTTTCATTACTCCAAGTGGATTGAAAACAATGTTCACTGGATAATCCAGCGTAACATGAGAAATGCTTCTTAATATGTTGTCTTTTTGTAATATAAATACCCAGAGTATCTGATATTAGGCCTAACCACTTTCACGATTTCACTGTCTGAAAGCGGACCACACACGACTGCTTATTTGTTGACATGAATGCATCCGATAGGTGAAGAATTACCGGGGTTCGGCAATTCCTCGACCCAAGCTTCGTCGAGTGTGCGCCACACTCGTAAGGACCGCAACTACGCACTCGCGGCCTTTACGAGAGCGGCTTGGCTTGGCTTGACTCAGCCTGACCGCTTGACGGCAAAAAAAAAAAAACTGGCTTGGTGGCTCGCTAAATTAAACGCAATTCGAGACTCGCGGATCCCAAAGTTGGGGGTGCATTGATTACGGGAGGGGAAAAGAAAAGTTAAAATATTGATGACTTTTGTGGGGGGTTCATTATACGAGTAAATACGGTACATATTGTAATGATAATTCTCCTCAGTTACTTAGTCAATCCATCCTGTTCTCACTTCCGGTCGTCTTCCTCCTCCTTTCTTTATCCTCATAGCACCCTTAAAGGGGCACTCAAGTGGTTTTTGGGGAAGCTACTTTTTGATGCGATGGCGTTAAGGAAGTGTCGGTGAATGAGTATTTTCAGTTTTACAAGGCAGAACCGCTTAATAATCACGCGGGAATAAAATACGTTCCTGCGCCGAGCAAAGAAATTATCGTATGTTTGAAAATTTTGGTGGTCTTTGTGAAGTTTCGCTAAAGAAACAATTTTCAGTTCATTTAGATATGTTGCGCATGATAATTTCACAAGACGTAAAATATTTCTAGCTTAGAATATGTGATACTGCAATTATCGTTTCACAAACAAGCGTCTACGTTTTCTCCTTGCCTTCTTCCGTGGGGGGTGAATTTCCCGTTTCTTCAAGATGCGCGGAAGCGAACGTGTCGTGAACTCTTTCCCTCCGGGTTTTCGGGAAGTGCCTTTGTGTCTCCAGGCCCGTTCACACACGTGCGTCCGTAGCGACCGCAACGACTGGAACAACCGAAACGACCGTTGCAAAGGTCTGCAAACGTCAGTTGTCATAGCGACGGAGGGACGCACGTATGTGTCGTTCACGACGCAAGGAGTTGGAGCGAGCCCACTTTCCCCGCTGCGTTGAAAACAACCGCAACGACAGACCGATCACAGGTCGAGGAGAACTGGTTGCGCGCGTTGTATGCCGGTCGTGCCGGTCGCGGGCCGGCTCCTTCTATCTGCAAACATGGCGCCGGTGGTGATCGTCGACGTGGACGGCGTGGTGAAAGTTTATCGTTCCGCGTAAAAGCGCTATCCTTGACTGTGATTTTTTGTCGTGTGTTGCTATGCTAACCCAGCACGTACTAGAAGGGAAGATCCACCTACTCGTGCGCCTATGTCGTGGCGGCAATCTCAAGTTGGCAGAAACGCCCGTGTCGTCGTGTTTGTTTACTTCGACTACAGTGATGATTTCTAAGCATTTGTGTCCTCGAACATCGTTTGGATTTCTTATTTGGAGAATTTCATGCATGTGCTAAATTTGAAGGTATTACTGGTGCGTACCGCACAAAGGATGAGAATTTTCACACGTTTTAATCACCGGAGAAAAGTGATTAGTGTTAGCAATCCTGAACGCTCGCGACGTCTATCTGATCACGAAATCGTATTTCTGCGTTGCTATATCGCTGCAAAGATTACATCATCTTTTATAATTGTAGGAAAGGCGTGTGGCGATATTTGTACTATTGTCAAAGTCGTGTATTAGAGTCGTGATCGTCCAAGACGACGTACTGCATCTTTTTCTTTTCTTTTTTTCATCCACTGTACCCTGCAAGTCTATCATGAAAAAAATAATAATAATAAAGCTTTAGGCTATCGAACACTGTGTCTATATTCTGCTACGGCATTGAGTGGCAGTGCGTCCCCTTTTTAGAGGCGCCGCTGACACAGCTGACGGCGGCGTAGAAGCGGTCGCCGTGCTGACGACCTGTTGCGCCTGTTACAGTGGTTGCAGGTGTGTGTGCATGCGGCACAGAGCCGTCGTTCCGGTCGCTGCGGTTGCAACGGACGCAGTCGTAGTTGACGCGCTCGTTGCACATGTCCGAACCAGCCTTCCCCCTGTCCTTCCGAGGCGAAAGTCAGCGTGGCGACATCGTTTGACATCATGTACCAGAGGTTACGCTGCAATGCCAAACGTTGGTTTGGTTACGACTTGCCCCAACCGCAAATCGAAGAACGCCCGAAAAGGTCTGCGTTTCGTCGTCCTCGGAACCCGAACACAACTCCGAAGCGCTGCTATCGTCCACATCGCTCGTTGGAGTGGCGTCATAGGAAATCATCCCCAGGTCGGCTGTCCGCCGAAGAATTTCAACCTCTAACGGCGTCAGGTCCTCGAGCGTAGAGAACTCCGCCATGATCGAAGCTCGAATGTCAAAGAGGTTCGGCCGGTGCGGCTACCTCGGAATCACTGCGCGACGGAACGTCGTTCAACGCCATTAGCCCGAGATCGTTTTGATATGCGAGCAGTGACCAATGAAAGTGGTTTCGCTTTCGGATGGATCCGAAGTTTGGCGGCCTTCAATTACATTTTTATTAAAGAAATAATCACCGTATGACTATATTTTCTGGTTATTAGAGATACTTAGGGCGTCTAGATTCAGTTGCCATCATCAAAAACACAAACTTAAAAACCACTTGAGTGCCCCTTTATAAGGAAGAAACAAAGTTTCTCTTTCAATAAAAAAGTTAATGTGATCGTAGTTCCGTCCGCAAAAGTTGTCCACATTCTTTACGGAACTCTTGGCGCGCTCGTGCGAGTTTTAGATGCGTTACGTGCTCAAGAAAGCAGCGAGTGTGCCAGGTCTTTTGTCAGTAATGTCCTCGAGGTAGCAGGCGACAGGCCCCCTCCGTTTCTAGATTCGATAAGGCAATCGGGGAAGGAGCAGCTCTCCTGACAGACTGCCAGGTCCGTCTTGCCAGAACTCCAATTTGAAACTCGGGCATATTAGGGTCACCAGCTTCTGACATATTGCCAGTTTCTTCCCGACTTGGCCGAATGGCATCCCGTCCCTGTCTACGAATTTCCTGGAGTGAAGCGCGCCGAGTGTCCGTGCAACTTTGTGTCCCGTTTAGCTCAAGGCTTGTCTCAAAGGCAGCGTTGCGTCACGACCGTGTAAGACTCTGAACGGTACTTCTTTTATAGTTTCTTGCTGCGATGTGTTCAGTGCAAACATTGCCTGCTGGATAAACTTGCCGCCCAATTAGTATGCATGGAGTTTACATAGGTGGCCAAGATATCGGTAAGTGTACGGTTGTATTTCTCAACTCAACCGTTCGTTTGAGGATGATACAGATGTCTGAGAATGTCGTATGCCGTGCCTCGCCGGACAGTTTCTGAAAAGGTGAGACATGGACGGTGCACCACGGTCTGGGATCATTGAGCGTGGTGTCTTGGAACAATGTTGACCTCAATAAACTCCTCTGGGGAATCTGCGGTAGCAATATTCTATACACTGTATTCAAATATCGCTGGAATATTAGATAATCTTATGCCCAGGCATGCTCAAATAGTGGACTTTAAGTTTCTGGCATATAGTGGTTTTGACCGAATATTTTCTAAATGATTATGGAATAGTTGCTCCAAGCTGGGCAGCGCCGATAGTCGGGCGAGTTGGTGCTGAACCTGAGAATACACGGTAGTCCTCCGAGAGAAGGACAAAAGG